TGCTCACGAGTCAACATATGGTCCTTCGAGCCGGATAGTGAACTATACAAGTGTAACATCAAACATCAAGTTAAAAACAAAAGCATCCCATTGAGCGGAATCATCGGACGTGCCAGTTACTCAACATCCCAGTTGGAGTCATCCCGTTTGGAGACATCCCGGTTGGAATCATCTTTTTTGGAGACATCCCGTTTGGAGTCATCCCGATCGAATCATCCTATTTGGAAGCATCACGTTTTGGAGTCATCCCGTTTGGAGGCATCTTGGTGGATAACATCCCATTTGGACAACATCCACGCAAAGAAATAAATCAGCAAACATCCTTCTGTGAATCATCGAGGGTCTAGCAGCGCTGCAATCCCGTTTGGATTACAGCCGTTCCAAAATCATCTCATCAAAGAACATCTACGAGGTCGTACGTGAGTCAAAGAATCTTCCATTTCCTTATTTTAAACTTCCTTAATATCTCCATTGATTTGATCTCAGTTACAAATTCTTGTTAGTTCAATTTACAATGGCTGCAGTAAAAATAAAATCATTAATCAAAGCTCGCGGAGTTAATAAAGCAAACATATCACGTTTAATTAAGCATATTCAGGAACACGCATTGATCAGTAGCGATGCATTAGAAACGCGTAAGCAAAAATTAGAAGAGTATTATCAAGCATTTACCAACATACAATTCGAAATTGAAGAGCTTGCCGAAGAAGCTAAATTAGAAGCAGATCAGGATCTTGAACGAGAACAGTTTGATGAAATATATTTTGAATGTTCGGATTTAATAAGCCAACGAATTCGAGAACTAGATCCTATTGGTAGTACATCAGCGACTACCAGCACTCAGGCGACCGCGAACGCGAACGCGAATAATTCAAAAGTCATTGTCCAACAAAATACGTTATTACCTAAGATTGAAATTCGTCCATTTGATGGTAATCCTATCGAATGGCACAGTTTTCATGACACATTTCAGTCACTTGTTCATAATGATACTCAGATTCCTGCAGTACAGAAATTTTATTTACTGAAAAATTCACTTCGTGGTAGTGTAGCTACAATAATCGATCCATTAAACGCGTCTGAAGAAAACTATTTTGTAGCTTGGGAAATGTTAAAACAACGATGCGATAAACCACGGCAAATCATACAAACACACATCAAAATGTTACTAGAATTGACAGAAATAAATAAAGATTCACCGATTAGTTTGCGAACGTTAAAAGAAAAAGCGTTGATGCATGTTAATGCATTGAAGGCCCTTCAGGTACCGGTAGATAGTTGGGATGCAATCTTAGTGTATATCATAATTCAGAAACTCGATAAAGCAACGCGACGAACTTGGGAACGTACTCTTGAAAATAATCAGATGCCAAAATTTACCGAATTAATTGCGTTTTTAAATAAACAAGAACGGGGTGATGATATCGAGGAATGTATTAACATAAAACCTAAATATAGCAATTCAATAGG